TTCTGCGTCAAAGCGGCACTTCTTTTTTTTTTTTTTTTAAACAAGTGCTCCAGTCTATTCCTGTCTCTTATACACATCTAGATGTGTATAAGAGACAGACCCCGCGCCTTCCAAACGCCCTCCTCCACCGCCCTGCCTCCCCAAGCCCCCTCTCCCGCCCAACGTCCCTCGTCCCATCCACCCCGCCCAACGCCCTTCCCCTCCTCCCCTCCACCTCCACCCTCCCATCTCTTCCAACCCCCCCCACAAACGCCACCCGCCCAACGCCCTCATCCCCTCCGGCCTGCTCGCCCCTCTTTGTCTGAGATATGTTCCACAATTGCAGTGCGTAGCTCTCAATCTATTCATCCAATTCAATCCCCATGCAGCATTCAGCACTGCGCCCCCCCCCCCCCCCCCCCCCCAAACGCACCCCACTCCACTTGGGGGGGGGGGTTTGCCCAATTGGAGTGGCAAAAGCCAAAGAAGGGAAAAGTGAAGGGGAAGAAGCAGAGGGGACAGGGTGAAGGAGTGGAAAGGGGGAGCAGGTGGGAGAGGACAGGAAGGGAGGGGAAAAAAGAAGAGGAGAGAGAAGGGATAGGGAAAAGAGAAGAGAAGCAACAAGAAGAGCAGAGCCGAAAGCGAAGAGAAAAGAGAAAGCAAGAAGAAGAAGAAGAAGAAGAAGAAGACAAGGTAGAAGTGGAAAAGGAGCGAAAGGAGGGAAAGAACAAGGTAGAGGAGTATGTGAGGAGGGAAGGAGAGAGGAGAGGAGGAGGAGGAGGAGAAGGGGAACAGGAAGAGGAAGACGAGGAGAAGGAAGATGAAGAGGAAAAAGAAGAGGAAGACGAGGACGAGGAGATGAAGAAGAAGAAGAAGAAGGAAAGAAGAAGAAGAAAGAAGAAGAAGAAGAAGAAGAAGAAGGAGAAGAAGAAGAAGAAGAAGAAGAAGAGCGGGAGGCCCCGGAGGAGGGAAGGGGAGTGCTACTCTTCTTTCTTTTTCTTCTTCCTCCCTTTCGGTTGCTGCTGTTGCTGCTGTTGCTGATGCGAGCTGAAGTTTATTTCTTGAATTATTAAAATTTACTAAACAATTTTTTTTTATGTGAATGACTTTGAATGTCCTTTTCTTTTCTCTTTTTATTGGTGTTGATTTTTGTAGGTCACCCTTTTCTCTTTGTTGGTGTCGATTTTTCGTAGGTCGCCTCCCGGTTGGGCTATTGGATGTATGATGTCGTCGACACACAAATCTTCCAGACAGCGACTCCCGAATCTCAGGCTGGCATTATTGGCGCTACAGAGCTTGCGCTATGTAGTTTCGCCGAGCTCGTCATGTTGAGTCTCGCAATCGTCGCGGAGGACGTTTCCAATTTTGGGTCTTTGGCGGTTCTGTCTACCATTGCTGTAGCGGGGTCGGCAGCAGTTTACTGCAACTGGATTGCTAAGCCAACAAGTGACCAGGTGCAGTTGTTTCCTGAAGAATTTGAGGGCGTCAATGGAGTATCATCGAGAGAAAGGAAGACGTCGCCGCGCGAGGAGCTGGAGGGTGACGAGTTGGACGTTGAGCGTTGGCGGGATAGGTGGGAGACGTGGGATGGTCGTGACATTGGTGGTAGCAACAACTGGGGGGAATGTGTCGGCCACCACAGCTCGGTGCTCATGTCGGCAGCGCCGTTATAGCGAAAGCACCAACTGATCAACGGACCGCCCGACGACCGCATTTAAATCAAATTGGAATTATTGGATTCAAAATTCAATTTCAATTTCAATTTGGTTATCGATATGATGCGCTTTGTTTTTAAAATTTCCCCTTTCGAGAATTTTCCCATCCATCATCTGCAGATTGCCAAATACAGAAAACTACTATGTCAAAGAGTAGAATAGGTAAATCAACTTTATTCTTTGAATTGAAATTCGTGGTCCTCAGTTCACGTTTTTTTTGGGGATTAAATTGAATTAGTTGGAATTCATTTTTTGTTCCAAGTTCGCTGTCACATCTCACAGCAGGTTCTGCTCCCCTTCCCCTTTGCCCTCACAGCAGCAGGATGTATCCCATTCTATGCGATGCTATATGATGCTATGTGATACTATTCGACGCTATTTCCGACGCTATTTTCGACGCGATCTCCAATGCTATATTCGATGCTATTTCCGACGCTATTTCCGATGCTATTTCCGATGCTTTCCGACGCTATTTCCGATGCTATTTCCGATGCTATTTCCGACGCTATTTTCCGACGCTATTTCCGATGCTATTTCTGCCGCTATTTCTGATGCTATTTCGGATGCTATTTCCAAGGCTATTGCCGATGCCATGTCCAACGCTGTATCCAACGCTATGCGATGCTAGCTGATGCTATCTCTGATGTTATTTTTTATGCTATCTCCGACGCTATCTCCGACGCTATCTCCGTCCGATGCTATTTCCGACGCTATTTCCGACGCTCTTTTCCGACGCTATTTCCGATGCTATTTCCGACGCTATTTCTGATGCTATTTCGGATGCTATTTCCAAGGCTATTGCCGATGCCATGTCCAACGCTTTATCCAACGCTATGCGATGCTAGCTGATGCTATCTCTGATGTTATTTTTTATGCTATCTCCGATGCTATCTCCGACGCTATCTCCGTCCGATGCTATTTCCGATGCTATTTCCGACGCTATTTTCCGACGCTATTTCCGATGCTATTTCTGACGCTATTTCTGATGCTATTTCGGATGCTATTTCCAAGGCCATTGCCGATGCCATGTCCAACGCTGTATCGAACGCAATGCGATGCTAGCTGATGCTATCTCTGATGTTATTTTTTATGCTATCTCCGACGCTATCTCCGACGCTATCTCCGACGCTATCTCCGACGCTATCTCCGACGCTATCTCCGACGCTATCTCCGATGCTATCTCTGACACTACTTCCAACGCTATCTCCGGCTCCGATGCTATCTCGGACGCTATTTCTGGCGCTATTTCCAACGCTATCTCCAACACTATCTGGGACGCTATGTGATGCTAGCCGAGGCTATCTGATGCTATCTCTGACGCTATGTGATGCTAGCTTAGGCTGTCTGATGCTATCTCCGCGATGCTACACGATGATATCTGATGCTATCTCCGCGATGCTATCTGATGCTATCTCCACGATGCTATCTGATGCTATCTCCGCGATGCTATGCGACGATATCTGATGCTATCCGATCTTATCTGATATTCTTTCCGAATCTACGAGATCCTATTTGTTGCGATCTGATTCTGAATTTTCATGGCCTATATCAATCAAGAGGGTATTGCTGTTGGAGGTGTAGAGTCGCGTACCGGTGTTCCATTTTGAAGTTCAACAACTTTAACCACTCTTTTTGTGCCATAGACTCTTTTTTTTTTTTTTTTTTTTTTTTGAAAGCCCAGGTTGTTGTAGAGGTTGGATGCAACCTCATGGAAAATCTCTTTTGTGTTCCATTTTGAAGTTCAACAACTTTAACCACTCTTTTTGTGCCATAGACTCTTTTTTTTTTTTTTTTTTTTTTTTTTGAAAGCCCAGGTTGTTGTAGAGGTTGGATGCAACCTCATGGAAAATCTCTTTGTTGCAAACGAGATACAACGACATGGATTGATTCGACCAACAGCATTGATGAACAGGACGAATCGTCAGAATCACGGAGGCACGTCAACACCACATCGTCATGCAAAGCAAACACAATAGACACACACGCATAAGTCAAAGTCAAAGTCAAAGTCAAAGTCAAATCTGTGTCTGTGTCGGTCTGTGTCTAAGTCACGGCCCCGAATTTGACGTCGACTTTGAAAGATGGCCGGATGGTGTATTGCTTACTGTGTCGGTTTGTGTCTAACGGACTAACCTATTAACAAAAAAAAAAAAGAAAAAAAAAAAAGGTTTGTCACTTTTGTGTTTGACGTGTGCTTGTTCACTCTTACAACACAACATCACAACATGAAAGATCATCGAGGTCACCGAAACGAAGGGGACCGTAAACCCTTTCTAAGCTGGCATCTCCCCTTTGGAGCTCAGCCGTCAGATTGTTTTTTTTTTTTTTTTTTTTTTTTTAAATAGGATTTTGGCTTTTGGAGATCAAAGCCCCATCCATTCTGAGGGAGCAAGAGTCCGAAATGCAATTTGTTTTCTGAACTTCCCCCCCCCCACATTGGATGGCTTGCGTCAACTTTGCGAACGTTTTTCGGCTTTTCTCATCTTCCAGCTGTGGGGTATTGGTTTTGCTGTTGTAGACTCAGGTACTGGTTTGTCAAATTGTCATGCGGAAGCCCCACCTTTGTTGTGATTTTGAAATCAGAAGACCCAACTTAATTGTGATTTTCAGATTTTGTCATTTTGAAGCTGAAGTTTAACGCTTAACGGAACTTGAAGTCTTTAAGCTCTTTTGTGCCATGGCCTCGTTAGAGTCGTAGCGCCATGGCCGCTTTGTCATCAACTTTCATCAATGTAACGCACGTTGGTTCGTAGCTTGGTGGTTATATAACTTATATTTTTATCTAAGATGTGGGGAGGCTTTTGGGTTTAGGATGTGCTCAGTCCAGCATTCCCACCAAACAGACGGAATTGGAACGGAAATATACCTTGTATACATTCATGAATCATGATGAGTGAGGGCTATCGTGTCGGGGGGAAGACAGTAGTGGTCTCCTGTGGATCCTCCCGTCTGGTGCGGCACCCACAAGGAAATGAAGGGGACTGAAAGTGTATCGGTTTTCAAATTGTTTTTTATTTTTATTTTTTATTTTTATTTTAATGGTTTTCAAATTCCAGATTATCTGATCAGTATCATCTGTTTTATTTTTTTACGGAACAAAATTCAACAAATTGATTGCTTTTGTGAAGAAGAAAAAAAAAAGAACTCGAGGTTTCTGCGTCAAAGCGGCACTTCTTTTTTTTTTTTTTTT